GGGGGGGGGGGGGGGGGGGGGGGGGGGGGGGGGGTTCCTTATGCTCCTCTTATTCCAGATACAAAGTGTTATCTGCATACTTTAAGACCAACAATCATCACATGTGGCAGACTTTAGGTTGCAACTTCCAGATATCCCCACAGAGGAGAAATACGAATAATAATTTTGGGAAGAGATGATCTGCCGGTTTTGAGCCTCTCTATTCAAAAGCACATTGGGTGTGACTAACCATTGGTCTCATTAAGATTTTCCAGTGAAGTGTTCTCCCAAAAACCCATTATTGATATAAAAGAGAAAATAAAGGTCATTGGATGTGCCTATAGACCACATAGTCTCCACGAACACATTTCAAACCAATACAGAAGTCTCCACTCCAACAGCAAGAAGTACATGAAATATCTGAATCTAAGTAATATGATCAAAGATAAACTTCCAACGGAGAACAGAACATTTCATGACTAGGTAAAGTTCCCCAAAAGGAAACATACAGAAGATAATAAACATGGTTTGGTTCTCAGAGAGGCTAGAGTCAACATAAGGGAACTAACTAATGCCTCTAGATCTAGAAATTTTATTTTATTAATGACAGACAACTATAAGTTTAAATTTCATTTATCATTACTGAAGCTTCAATAAGCAGACCCAGACCACAAAAAATGATTCCAATCTTTTACCTAACATTCAAGCATGACTTTTCTGTAGGCATTGCTAATGGATGACTACCCAATCAAACATCATGCTTGGAAAGCAACGTCTAACAACTTTTCTTTGTCCAAAGACTTTGGGAGGACCCAGCAATCAATAGCTGGTAGTTCTCAAGTAAGGGCAATATCCACGTTATATGACAGCTCCAAATCGTAGCCATCATACTATATGCTATGGTACATATCCAAAACACTAGTACCACTTGATTGGACTCTAACGACTTGGTTGATGGGGAGAGAATATTTCAAGACCAAAAGAGAAACACAGATATTTACAACCAAAGAATGTATCAGAAAACCAACGTAAGATTAATATGGTTCGATGCCATAAAGAAAATCAAATTCTTCGTCGAGATCAATTATAAGCACTTTCAAACTATCAGATAGCAAAATTTCATGTTAACTTCAAATCTCAAGGTACTTATGATATTTAAGTTTGTCTAGTTTGGTTGACCACATCTATGGCAATACCACAGGCAAGCGCTTTACCAGTTCATTGCGTCTCAAATCTCACAATTTATAGGCTCAGAGACTGCTGCGATCCATGAATGGTGGATTGAAAACAGTCGGGCATAAACATGATGCATGAAACAGAGAAAGGTGAAGCTTCTGTATGAATCGTGTTACCTCTGGATCTGGCCAAGACCTCGGGAGCCCATGACCAGCGAGTCCAGCTTCAGCTCTTCCACGGCTTCACACAGCTTCTCCCTCGCGTCTCCATTGTACAACTTCACGACGATCGTCGCCTGATCCGTTCATTTCATCGGCAGATATGGCGATGGTGACAAAGAACATGAGAAATCAGAGGGTAAGTAATTAGTAGAAGAAAGCGCAAGGGGGTGGCCGGAGGACTGACCTCCTTTTGTCTGGACGCGGTGTCGAGCATATCGAGGACGTCGATATCCACTTCCACGTCGTACCTCTTCATCACCTCCAATTCCCGGAACTCCGTCAGGGGGATCAAAGCTAACAACGAACAGCGCAAACGCACACAAAACAAACACATCGTAAGCAAGACGGATTTCTATCTTTGAACGGAGAGATTAGGGCGGGGCATACGAGGAGAATCGGAGTGCTTGGAGCCGGACGACGACTTGGGGCGCAGGACATGGATGACGATGAGGGTCTCACCAATGTCGAGGAGGTTGTCAATGGTCCATTGCAGCGCCCGCTTGCTGCTCCCGGAGAAGTCCAGCGCCACCCCGATCTTCCGATCGCCTCCCATAGTCTTCCTCTGGTCTCGTCCGACGGAGAAAGAAGGGGGCTCTCCCTGCGGTTAAATCTTCTCGTGCAGTTGGGTTGGGGCGAGTCCTGCGCGGGCACAGCGCACGCTTCCTTTCTTGGGCCATCGGCGGAAACAAGAGGCCGCAAATCAAGCTGAGAACAGGACAGCTTGGCGGTGTTGGGGCACGTCGTTCAGCTTCGATGGGCCGCAGATCGTGATGGGCCACATGGGCCACACAGTATTCCACCGACTAATGCACGCGTTTGTTGCCATATTATAATATTACACACACAACAGAATACTGTGGGCTGTGCTACTCGGAGTCTAAAACAAGCATACATTGATTGGTACAAATACAAGCCAAGTGGCTAACACAAGCATCTTCGTAAATAATGGACGGACTTGAAGACACATTAAATTCATCCTATTTCATCATAAGCCCGTTACTACTGGGCCCCGCCCGCTTCAGTAGCCCGCTCCCGGTGAGGAGGAACCCTAGAGCGTGGCCGACGATGGCGGCGATGAGCACGCCGACGTTGAAGGACATGACGGCGAGCATGATCAGGTAGGCGAGGCCCATCCGGGCGGCGTGAAGCGCGGTGCGGAGGAGGGCGAGCGAGACGCGGTCCCCCCGCGAGAGGCGGTGGAGGGCCGCGGAGAGGCAGTCGACGAGGGCGGAGGCGGCGGCGACGAGGAAGAGGGCGAGGACGTACGCGCCGGCGCCTCGGTCGCCGGGCCAGCAGGAGAAGAGGATCTGCGCGCGGGTGCTCCAGAAGAAGGTCATGTGCATCATGCCCATGCACGAGGTGGGCATGCCACCGGGAGGGGGCGTCATGCCGCTCATCCCCCCGTCAGCAACCCCGTCGCCTGCTCCCATTTCCATTCCTCGTCCTTGGGAACCAATCACAACAAAGTAGGGTGTATGGGCGATGGGAGACGGCTTTTGAGGTGGAAATTTGGGGGTTGGTGATGCCGCCGAAGGAGGAGGAGCCGATGCGCCTCCGGATGAGGCTAAAAACATGTCCTTGATGCCATCGAGCGGCGAGCATCGATGACGGCTGTCACCTGAAATGGCCAAAGACGGTGTCTCTACTGCTTACCCACAACCTTGTCGTTTACTCGAACCACACATAATTGGACACCATATATATATATATATATATATATATATATATATATATATATATATATATATATATAT